TCCACGATGATTTTGCCAATGTCAGGGTTAAAATTGACTATGTTTGTACGGTAGTTTTGTAAAAATAGTATAAAAATTATAGCGAACGACGCCAATGTCCAGTTGTATGTATACATACTAAAAAACGCAGGAAAATTTTTGATAACTTTTTTATTTCTTTCATTTATTTGGGTAGGCTCTACTATACAACATTTAGAATCATAATGGATGGTCAATGAAATAATAACATTTATTTGTAAATGATCTGAATTTGTAAGACTAATTTTTTGACACATAAATAGAAGTGTTTTAACTAATTAAAATCGGAAAGTGGAAGATCAATGTTGAAAGTTTTAGAATAAATATTTACAGCAAAAATTTATTTTAATATTTCACAATTATACCGTAGCAAAATATATTATGCATTTATTTACAAACGATATGAATGCAAATAAACTTTTTCTTGAAAATGATTCCACACTATGTACTGCAAGAACATTTTTTTGATAACGAACCAGTTTTACCTCTTCGTTGACCCCCCTCTTTATGGTGTCCTATCTCTTTCCTTCTCTATTACAAACCGTTTTGTTATCTCTCTCTTCCGACTGTCAACTTTAGTCCATATTTGTCTCTCATTCGAGTAGAGCGTTTGTATCGTTGGTTGCCATTATTGTATTTAAAATTGCATTTTATTACAGTTCAAAGTGAGTAATTGGTGTTTTTACCTCTTATTTCTATAGAAGCAATTACCTAACTACAAAACAATGGATGCTTACTCATCGATAGTAGTATTCTAGTGTTGATTATTAATTAAAACAAAGGGTGTGGTGAAATGACCATTTTCGTAGAAAAACTTGTGTTTTATCGGCTAGTTTGCTTATCATTGCTAATAAAAAAGGGATCGTGTTGGAAATCCTATTAATTATAGTCTTTTGTTAACCGAACAATGACATACAGTTTCAATAAATTTGAAAATTTGTAAAAATCAGTGTAAAGTGAAGTGTTGTGTGGTATTTGCAGAAGTCATCCACAACGAAAACAACAACGATGACGACGCCGGCAAAGCTGTTCGGACGCGAGCTGTCGTCTTACGACGAGGTGGACGTCGACGAGCTGCTTGCCAAGCTCACGCAAGAAGAGCTAAACATGCTTGCCAAGGAAGTTGATCCTGACGTAAGTAAAATTTTTGTACTTTTAATGTAAATTAGAATAAGACAAATAAAACATACTTGCCAGCATTAGTTGCGAACATACAGACTCTATTGTCATAAGCCACTCAAATAATGTTTACATAACTTCTAAACCGCATAACAACCAAAAAACGTATCATATTATCATATCAGACAGTGATAAAACCACCCTGCTAAATTTGCAACAATTCTTTCCCATGCACATTTAATCATTTAGCTATATCCACAATGTACTACAATAGGTTTACTTGTCTTGAGACTTGCATAAATTCATACACAATCAAATAAAATTTTAATATGTCATAAAATGCATTCAGCAGCACAGTTATTAAGTTTATTAATTTTTAGCATAGAGAATATAAAATTACTATAGAACAGTAATGTCAGGGCACCCAATTTTGAAATTGACAAGTGATTTATCATAATAAATGAAGTGATTTATCATTAATAAATGACAACTGCCACTCATCATACTTAGGTACTTGGGCCTGTTGTTCAATTTTCTCTGATAGGATTATGTGCTTACAAGAAAAATTTGCGTCTATCGGATGTGCAACAAGTGATCTACTAGATCAGCAGTTTCTTTTACCAAATGTTATCATTCTTTGATTTTTAATTATATAGGATTTTTATAAATGGGGACTTTGGTACAAATAAATATATTACCAATAAGAAAATATAATATGTGTATACTCACTAGCAATGAACAAAGTGACCAGCATAGTAACAGTTTACGTCTAAAAACTCAAGGCATCAAACACAAAAAGTCAAATAACAAATATATTTGTCTGTGCTACAGCCATACAAACCTATTCAAATGGACAATTACTGTCATTGTATACGGCCTTGAGTACCAATTGTAGATGATACTTGCAGCACACATAATGGTAATAGCTTATGTAAATACCGTCTACAAAATTAGGGTATTGAGTATTTTCTTGTTTGTGTATAAGTTTAGTAACTACGTAGGTATTTATATATTTTCAAGAAGATGGTAGTTATTAGTCCTTAAATCTTAAGTGTGAAGCTTGACACGCTCTTAACATTTCAAATAAGTTTGAAAGGGCCTGTACGTGCCAAATTTCTTTCATTACGTCATAACGTACAATTACGTTCCAAACAATAAATTGATACATATTACAATAAAACAACAACTGTACTCTTAGTACGATTGTTTAACTGTCTTCAAACAGATTATCATAATTAAAAACAATATGTCTTGTAAAACACTGCGTATCTTTGTCTTCTAACCAAATTTTGATAACAGTATTTGTAAATGCTTTATTACCGGCAATTGTATAGGGTCTATTTCCTTAAAAAATTGTTAGTAACCTACAACGCCCCAGTAATCACAATTAGCATAGTTATCAACTGCTTTAAAAAAGTACATTTGCATAATATTGTAGGTTGTTTGTTGTAAAGAATGAGAGAATAAGGAAATGGTGTTTCTTTGTAATGCTTAAAAATTTTTTCACCCATACCTTCTGGTCTATACAGAAGTAATCTCTATCAAATATATGTATAGAAGCAATGGCAAAGCAAGGCAACTGAAGATGCAGAACGTTACCTAACCTAACAGTAAAGTTCTCTTTTATTTATTTTAAAGTGAGTCATGAAAATCTTACATGCAAAATTGGCACCTTGATGTCGAGTTGCGGACACTAGTCTGGCTCACCATACCATAAGACATGAAAATGGGGTCAATTAGGCAGACTTGTCCAGCACCAAAGAAGTCATTGATTGCTATGAAGCTCGAGACAGATGGACACAGAAAAAATGCAGTCATAATCATAAAATGGTATAATATGTGCCACAAGATAGTGCATCCATACATCACCTGATGATTGAATTTATAGTAGTATATAACTGCTACCAAAACATAGTTTTTAGTGTAAAATTTGCAAAAACCAGTTAACACTGTTTAAGTTCGTAATAACGCGGAAACACTCATAGCCCCGCACTAGGGAAAACCCTGTATCGCGGGTGCCATGGACACACTCATTGACAACCACAAACTACACCCAAACTAGAGAAATAAATGTAGTCCATACAAATATTTCTCCCAGCACGGGAATCGAACCCGGGACCTTTGCATGGCAGTCAGACATGGTAACCGTTGCCCCAGGCCATTGAGGCAGTTTTGTAAATTAAAACTTGAACTCATTATTGACACCTTGAACATTGATACTAAAATTGTTAATTTATCACTAGTACACACACACATATGCACACGCGCTTTACAAAACTGTCTTAAATACAATCATATAAGTTTCCAAGTTTAATACACTAAGGACATGTAATAAAATAAAAGATTTTATCAAATTGTCAATTCAATACTTCGATTTCAAGATAATTATCATTCTTAGTCATTATTGTGATATCAGTTAAATATTGTTTTGAATTTCCATAACCTAGTTGCAATTTTATCTTTTGTAGTTCAACAATAAAATTAACACTTACAATTTTAATTAAAACGGAGTAAACTTCCATGTACCTGCAATATTTTTTTCCTTTGAACAAAACAGAATTATACAGAGCTATTTTTAAAATGCTAATAACCTTGGAAGATTAAATTACTAACATCATAAACAACAGCTTTTATTCCATGACTTTTTACAATTAACATAATAAATTTACCAAAAATAAACCTTAAAGTTTTTGCTGTACTATCTGACACTTAATAGATCTGTATTTGGTAGCAAGGTACGTTCATACTGGCAAGCGTGCTCTGCGATGACTCCCAACCCTGTCCTGCACAGAAATATTACCATTTAGAGTGATATATTTAAATATATCTGACTATTACCATTACATATATTACCATTTAGAGTGATATATTTAAACTGCCTCCGTGGCCGAACGGTTACCATGCCGGACTGCCACGCAGAGGTCCCAGGTTCGATTCCCGGGCCGGGAGAAATATTTGTATGACCTACATTTATTTCTCTCGTGAGTTTGGGTGTAATTTGTGGTTGTCTATGTGTGTGTCCATGGCACCCGCGACACAGGGTTTCCCTAGTGCGGGGCTATGTTGAGTGTGTGCGTTAAAAAAAAAAAAATATTTATTTTTGTATAAAAGTAAAATCTGAAGATTTATTAAAAGTCACGGAACAGAAGTTGTCATGGTAGTAATATAGTCCTGAGAGGTTGTTACTATTTTAATAGGTGACTGAGTAGATATTCTCAAAAGAAAAGCTGGCATGCCAGTTTGCTGTGCATTCATATTTGCATTTAATTAACACTACAATAATATTGCATTGACTCATCCACTAATACAAAAATGACCAATGATAAGACTGATAATCACGTACAATCACTAAAACAATTATTTGAAACACATTCGACTCAATCAAGTTCACCTCCATAAAAGTTCACGTAATTGATGAGCAAACTCATTGATTGGCAGCTTGCCTCATCTAAAATAGTCCGGTGTTTAGTTTGTAGAAAATGAAGTGAAAATGTTTCTGATATGAAACCAATTTCTTAAGGCAAAGCGATGACAATATCTAGGCATAATTGATTTTTTCATTGAAAAACAACAAAGTATAAACTAGGAAAAGAAAATAATTATATGCTCCTCAGTGTATAATGTATAAAATTCAGGCATGCCCAGACTTACACATAATTATAATAAATTAGCTGTATCCTGAATGCGTTGCAATGCCTCTAAAAGAAAATAAATAGTACCTTGTGCTTTAAAGATGGCAAACAAGAAATTACTAACGAGCCCGAAGCCAAAGGCTGAAGTCCTTTATAACTCGAGTTTTGTATTTTTTTACCATCTGTGATACATACATTGTTTTCATCACATTTGCGAGGAAATAAATACAATGTTTATGAATAAATCTGTAGCTCTAGTGGATAGCTCTAGTGGACAAGTAAAAAGCCAATTTTACAAGAAAACGCGAAAAAGACTTAACGCTTAATATCATGTTGTTCTTCTTTTGAATGCTATAGCTCCATCGAAATTAACGATGATTTCGCCAATGTCAAGTAGGAATGACTATGTGCAGTAGTTTGTGAACACAACACAACAATTAAAGATTTTGCAAGTGGCAGGTGTTTGTTTTGTTATCAACAGATGGCCTGCTATATAGCTATTCTTCCATAGATAATACAACTCGAACTAAAATGCTTTAAGAAGAAAAACGCATACAACCTGATGGATTGTAAAAAAATTGCTAAATTTTTATACAGAAAATACTTAAAATAAATTTTAAGAAATTCTTAATAATAATAAGTATTATGTGGCTGCATTGCAATTAAATTTCTGTTTAGATAACGTTTTAAGCGAATGTTTTAATTTAAAAAAAAAGGAAGAAAAAATGCCATAGGGTTTTATTTGGGGCATTATAGTCAAGTTAGCCACCATGCAAACATACTATTTACGAGCAAGTGTAATGAAAAAACTGTTGTCTTTTTGCTCTGGAAAAGATGACCTTATCCTCTTTTCAGAACAGTCCCTTGTAGTGCGATTTAAGACATCAGAATTGCGGCTTGTAGCGTGTGCACGAGAACTGACGAAAGTTTTGGCACAATCAAATGATTAATAATGGAAAGCCTATGGGACAAAACAATAAGTTTAATTTTTATATGAGAATGTAGTGGTTTTAAAAGTAGGAACCAACATACATGCTTATAATGACTAGAAAAGGTAGTGTTTTAGATACAATTCTTATACTTATGTTGTCTTGGTTTTATGATAATGGATTCTATTGTACACAAACGTGATGTTCGACAGGGAAAGGTCTCTTTTTATGAGATTTTATGGTGGTGTTGAGGGAGTTTCTTGCACAAAAATAACTTCCTGTATGTATACCATATATTTTCCAAAAATACTTACAACTTAAAAATAAGTGTAATAAAAACATTATATGAAATTTCCAGGACAACTTCCTGCCTCCGTCGCAGCGTAACAATTACGACTGTGAAAAAGACCCCACAGGTCCACTTAATAGGAAGAAGCTGATAGAACACATCAATAAACAGGCGCTCGAGACGCCAGACCGGCCAGAGATCAAACCTTATGTGGCTGGAGTTATTAGAGGGAAAAAGGTAAGCCTCGGTTGAACAAACTTAAAACGAATGACACTACGTTCATTGAATAATGTATGAGTTATGTGATGGTTGTAGAATACATATTTATGTGTTTTTCGTTTGTTTATTTATGGTTTATACATAAACATGCTCATTATGGAGAATTTGAGATTTTCCAATGTTGGTAAAGGTTTTGCTTTATTTGATCCTCAAAGATATAATTGATCTATTGTAAATGTGCACTTTTAACCGACTTCCAAAAAGGAGGAGGTTTTCAATTGAACTGTATGTTTTTTTTGGTATATTGCGCGATAACTCCGGCGATATTTGTGAACTGATTTTGATGATTTTTTTTTAAAGAGGATACCTTAGAAGTGTTCCCATTTAAATTCGAACAAAATATTCTACCTCTAAGGGTGGCAAACTAGAGAGTGAATGACTTTAGAAGTCGATTTTTTACATAAAAGATATCGTTTATTTAATACCATAAACGATATTTTTGTTTTGTGTTGGATATATATTTTAATTGTTCCATCTATATTAGTTGATGTACGGATAAATTATAAATAAACTGCGTTCAAGGTCAAATTTTGGTATTAAAAAATAATATTTGATCCTCTTTTATTATTATTGGTCTTTTCTTTTAACGATTGATGACATTTATAACCAGTAATAATATCTTTTGATATTGATCTCCTAATAAATCTTGGTTGCTTGGTTGCGCCCTCCATTCAGTAGGTTGGGTAGTATATGACAAAGCAGCATGAGACTGGCGAGTGTGACTCGACAGCGGCCGGCGAGTGCCGGAAGCCAATTTACTTGCGTTTCCGAACATGTTTTCATATCAAGTTATACTATATTTAATATAATATTAGTACACATATAATCAACATTTACTTAGTTTTAATAATAAGTATCTAAATGTTTTTTTAATGCTCATTTGTCTTAGTTTTGAGGCCCAACACAAAACTATCAATGTGAATTTATACAATTCAAAAATTTTTTGCGGCGCTCAGAACAGATTAAAATATCCATTGATTTAATTTATTTTAGGTCTCAGAGAAAGAGGATCAATCATTAAAAAAGATGGCCGTTTAGATTTTTTCCTGCTATTTTAGCAAATTTAAAATGATCATTTAAATACATTCCTTTTTTTTTCTATGTATCGTAACAAATTACTCGAGGCAATTACCTCGTAACAAACGAGAAGATGCTAGCGAATATTCTTTATATTACGTTGCAGTGGATTCCGCCCCCACAACCGCAGAAGATGCAGGATGCGGAGGAGCAAATCAGCATAGACCTTGGAGACGAGTACGAAGCCGCCCTCGACAGCGCTTCCCAGGAAGAAATCATTGATTTAGCTGGTGAGTTTTCTTTCTTTAAAAATAACCGCGTATGCAACCTTGGAATGAAGATAAACCCATCACAAAGGCACAGAAACAAAATTGGCAAACCACAATTTGTTTCATTGTACACCCTACACTATTTAAAACTATAGTGAAACAAAAACTATACTAATGGTTATGTGTTAAAGGTTAATTAATACTAAAGGATTTAAAGTAGTGGTAAACATAACATGAATAAAAATAAACTGCTTCTTCTTGACAGTCGGCTTCATAAAATCATAAATTAATGTTAGAGCAATGCTTCTATAATAAGATTCCGGTTGATATTCAAAATTTGCCATTTACGAAGTTTAAACTAAAGTGAAACTTTATACTAAACGTTATTAGGTACAGCTTCTGTGTACGTGGATGACAAAAATCCATGATAGTGACCCGTTTAGCACTTGCAAGTTGTGTTGGTCATATCATAATATTTGAAATAAATATTGTAAATGATAAAGTGTACAAATGTTTGTTTACAAAGAGCAAACCCTAGAGTTTTTTACCCATTCTGCACACGGGGATTTGCTTTACGAATGAGTAATAGAGTTAAATCAACGTTACGTATGAAATAAACATTTAGTTTAAGGAAAAAAATCTCTAGTGTTATGTAAATAAGCTGGTTTAAATGATTGAATTTATATAGGAAAACTGCATTATATGTATAATAAAAAAAATTATGTGTTATATATGTTTGATGTAGATTCTATTTTACTCATAAAAAATATATGTTTAAATATCCGCCTACATATCTAAAATACTTCTAGATATTATATTTTATTTATATTTTCAAACACCTTTGTAATATCAAGAAAAAATACGTCGCAATATGCTGAACAAATGTGACATCTATCACCAAGATCACATAACTCAAAATAGTTTATTATAATATCAAGGCGACAAGCCAAAACAAATTAAACAATAGCTTTGGCAACCACTGTTTATTATATATCACTTTATAATGAGATAAGGGGTGGTTGACCAGTGGGCAAACTGTTGCTTTTCAATTGGGAAGTCGAAGGATCGAACCTCTGTGGAAGCATATATTAAATTTTTTGAAATTATTTCTGTCTTGCTAATAAACAGTTTTTGTTCAATAACTTCGAACAATGACGACCTCCATGCTCGAGTGGCGTGAGCACTGGTTTTCATGATGTCGCCATCTCTGAGGTCCCGGGTTCGATCCCCGGCCAGGTCAATGTAGAACAGTAACTTTCCTGTATTGTCTCGAGCCTGGGTATTTGTGGTACCGTCGTTGTTTCCGATTTCCATAATACAATTGCTTTAGTTACTTTGGGATCAGAGCGACGTATTTGATGTTGTCTAAATTTTTTTACAATATTCCCTACAAACTCGTGTCAGCTGCTCTGTATATATTTGTAAGAAAAGTTCTAGAATGAAAGTCGTTTGTTCACTATAGAAATGTCGTATAATATATTTAGATTTTATAAAAATAACCTATCAGGGTCTAACAAATAGTAAGATAGATTACAACCCCACGTAAGATAAAATTTTGTATACATTATTTTTTTAATTTCATTGTTCTTATATTTTTAAATGTGCGTGACTATTTGCAAAGCTCTCGAGTTTGCTGGCAATACTTCCATTTATTTAATACAATTTTATTAAAGTTGGTTGAAATCTAAAAAATAACTAAGAAACAAATTCCAAATTGAACAGATATTACGTTCATAGCCTTCGGGACCTCCTGAAAGAAAAAAAACTGAAGTTGTAAGAATTTTTTTAAGACGATAACACTGGATTCTTGCCAATCTTACAAATTCCTCCCGCCTTATTGCTTCGCTAGAGTATTTTTTCAAATACGCATACGTTATATTTTTTCAAGCAATAGATTTAGCAGCACTACAATATATTAAATGCCCACATTTTGTGTTAATAAAGTTAACTGGGATCAGAATTACTCTATTTGACGTATAATAATGGTAATAGTTAGCCTATGTAGTCCCATAGTAGCTGGCACATGCTTCCTCTCACATTGAGAGAGCTTGGGCTAGTTCTCACTGCGGATTGGGAACTTCACACATCATTATGTATCGCTACACGATGTTCTCGGAAGAAATAATTGTCCGTGGTCCACCCAGGTGAACCAGACAGGTGGTTCACGGTCAAGAAGCGAAAAAAAATACGAATTAAATACCCCACAGATGGCGATGACGGCGGCCGTTTGAACCCAATACAACGATCTGTAACAAACACAGAGCAATTTTTAACATCTGCTGACTCGGTCTGTAGCACAGTTGGTTAAGAGGGTGGCCCCAGCATGACAACGAACCAGTGTCTGTGGTTCGAGTCCAATCAGTTGGAAGGAATTTTTCTTTGTGTTGTTCGATATTTGTATTAATAATTACAACAAACTATACTCTAGCCAAATTCGATGTAGAATGTTTAATAACAAAACGTTGCTAAGCAACCAATGATGGCATAGGAATAGAACATTTTTTTCAATGCTCATTATTAAGGCTTGCGCTGCCCACGGCCTGCTCCTTAATTGGAATTTAAATAGGTAAGTAGGTAATTGGGTTATGTAGAAGTAATACTTACCTAGCCAATTGTTATAAAATTTACAAATTATCTACTGATACATATGATTTAAGAATAAAAATAAGTGTTTGCATCCTATTAATATGTACATATAATGGTAGATGAAAAGAAACAAAATTGTAAGATTTTATTTTATATCAGTTTACCACATATTATATCATCCAGCATCTAGGTATTTCCAATTCTAAATTTGAATTACCACCAGAACTCGAATGTTTGCAATCTCTCCCTTCAAATCAAAAAGTCACTAGGGATGACACAGTTTTACATATAATTAATAACTGGTCATTTTTTAGTTCATTTTAGGTGATTTGAAACTTCTGTTGAATAATATTCATTATAAACAACACTTCAAGATTTAGTATTATCCATAATCTAGTTGAATTTCGAGGGAAAATATTGAAATTGTGGTAACTGTGAAACAGTCTAAGATGAAAACCCTAAAAATCATGTGTTTTTGTTTGTTGACATTTATTCTACATCGAATTTGGCTAGAGTATAGTGGAGTAATTTCAATAAAAATACATGAATAACGTAGTAGTACAACATCACGATAATGAATAAATTACACAATAGATAAACATGTTAAATGAGTCTAGGGATCAACCTATCCTGGTTACGGACTCACTAAGTAGTAAAATAAGTAGCAGTAGAGCTCTTTTAGTAGCAGTACAGCTCCTTTTAAAAAGAGTGCGCCCAGAGAAGTACTGCCACCTTACCTATTTCTACCGCCAAGCAGTAATGTGAGCATTACTGCGTTCTTGAGCATTACTGAATGGCAGTGCAACTGTTATTTATTTCGTCATATATTATGTCACTTGTATTATAAAAAACAAAACTAAAATAATTAAACATATCATATGCCTGGTTAAAACAGTATTTAATTAAAATTCCAAAACATTCACGAACAAAGTGTTATTGAAATGCATAAGCGTAATTAAGGACTAAACATTTTATTGTTCTGTTGCAGCAATTCTTGGCTTCCACTCAATGATGAACCAGGACCAGTATCATGCGTCGCTGCTCAACAAGGGTCAGCCCGTCGGTCTTGGATGGGACGGCATCACCAAAGCCACCAAACAAAAGGTACACACAGATCAGAAAACCACCTTGGTTGTTTAGCCATTACACTTCATCAGGGAATCGGTCTTTTTCCATATTGGTTTTAGACTAACTAATTGTTCTAGAACCCACAAGTTTGAAATCGATTTCGTTAGTTTGGAATTCAAAAGTTCGAAAAGTTTCTTCTAATTTGTTCTACTAAGTGGTAGCAAGCGATATTTATAAATGTAACAAAGCAAAAGTACCGTGTTATGGTTAGATTGTCACACGTTACTTGCTGAAGCAAAACATTGTCATTTATGCACATTGAATTGTCATTTACCATATCATTGGACGTAACATAAAATTTTGTCATTAATTAATTATTTTCATCACTGAATAACTGATAATAATTTTTCCCATTAAATTGTTAGGTTTTTTTTAATATAATATCAAGTGACGGGACGAACAAGCCGTGCGCCTGGTAGTAAGCAACACGCCTGCCCATGACAGTTGCAGTGCCACTCAGAGCTTTAAATTGCAAAGATCTGGGGGCACCGCCACTACGCCAGTCTCCTTGAGACATAAGTTTACAAGTCTTATGTGCCTGTAATTTCACCAGCACCCTCACCCTTCAAAACTGGAACACATTAATGCTTACATTACTGCTTGGCGGCATAAATAGATAAGGTGACAGTACTTCCTTGGACGAGCTCTTTCACATGGAGCTCTACCGCTACTATATTCTATATATGTATAGTATTCTATATATGAATAGTATAGTATAGTAAAGGACATCAAGGGGAAGGATTATAGTTCGTAAAAGACATTTTTTAATTTATTTATATTATAGTAGTACAGTATCACAAAAGCCAATTTTAGTTTTACCGTACGCTAGCCCATTACTATTACCAATATACATTTGATATTAAGTTGTAAGTTATAAGTAATGGAAAGTATCACCACAGCTAACACTGATAATTTAGTTCTAAGGTAAGATACAATGATTGTATTCAATTCTAACTGCCCTGACCGATACGTCTGTGGTGACATAATTAATAAGAAATGAAATGTGAACGTTGCAGATATTTCCGATGGACCCACCCAATGACACGGACCCCGACGACACGGTGAAGCGCGTGGAGCAGAACGACCAGAAACTGACTGATCTCAATTGGAATAATATTAAGGTGCTTCACTTTTGTACATATTATATTTATTTATTCAGGTATACTATTGGCACACATGTCAACATATACGATGCTTGTAAATTTACACACAGTATGATATGACAAAGCAGTTAAAAAGCAAAATATAAATTATTCAACTATTACTGTGCAAACTCCTGTAACACAACCTAACTCTTAACAGTCGGGTAACATATTTGACATTTGACATTTACGATCAGACAGCAAATTATCTACGCTACTAAGAGATTTAAAGTATTAAATTCTCGATAGGAGATTTGGTCGACTTGGAATATATTAGCTTCTGGCCCTTCATATTCCCCAACTACGTCTCTGGTGTTTTTAAAAAGCATAACAACCTTCAGTACACACATGGTCATAATTAGTGGAACAATAAAAGTGAGTTATGTTTAAATAAATAATACCGCGAGAAATTTGCATCGACACAACAAACAAACAGCACTGATATATTAAAATATTGCCGAATTTGCATTTTTTTTTCCCCTGTTAACATTTTTCTGTTATGTATTTGTTTGTATTATCGAATAAATTGATCGTTTTTATACAAACCAAGTGATCACAACAAATCAAATCGTCAATTTGAAAGTGCAATCATTCGCTAATCAATTAATCACAGCGACGCGCGCTGTAAACCGGTCCTGACATGTTTACAACAGTGGGTATAATATACATTTATAACTGAAAAAAAAAATATTTTTTTTTTACGAAGTTTACAAGAAAGCAAAATCAACCTCAAGACACTCGACTATAGTACAGTCGACTAATTTATAAATTTCAAATTAGACCTTAAAATAAAAAAGTAAAATACCCGACCAGACTTTTGAAAAAAAAAACACTGCGGTATTTCGGGAATTTTACTAGTATTCCGTTAAATATGTCGATGTGTGTATTATTGATTTGACTACGAATGAATGAATGAAATACAATAAGCAGTATTTAGCATAAAATTACAGTGGCAACACAGAACAGTAACTTATTTAAAAATAGTAAGACCGATTATTGCTATGTAGCAATTTCTTCCAAGCAACCTTACTTAACCAAATTACAACTGTCAAATTTGTTGTTATCAGAACATAAGCGACGAGAAATTCGAAAGATTGTTCGAGGCGCTAAAAACCAACACGCACCTGGAAGTCCTGTCCCTCGTGAACGTCGGCCTGAACGACCGCACGGCGCAGCTGCTGGCCGATGCGCTGCAGGCCAACAGCGCGCTCAGAGTGGTCAACGTCGAGACGAACTTCATCAGCCCGCAGGGCGTGGTGCTGCTCGTCAAGTCGCTGCTCACCACCAACTCCGTCGAGGAATTCCGCGCCTCCAACCAGGTGGGCTGTCACTTATTCATGTGACGCTTCGTTTTAGGGTCTCCCTACGGTCTTCATTGGTGTTAAATTGTCCGATAAAACATCTGTAATAGTAATAATAATAATAATGTGCCAGACAACTTGACACACACAACATGAACATACTAGCTGTTTTTGACAATCGCTTCAATTTAAGGCGCAACGTAATAAATCGACTGTGAACTGGCAACCGGTACTATCTCAAATTCAAATTCAAATGTTTTATTGCATACATGTTCTTAAAAAATAGGTCTTAAATTAGTACATACAGTATCAAACATGAACCCTGTAAGGGCACAGCAATGTAATTTTTTAAGTACTCTATATATATATATATATATCCAAAGTTGTATTACAATTCATTCTATTTCATTTAAAATTAGATAAATTAAAAACAGAAATTATTACAAATAGTCAAAAGTACAGTTAAGTAAAATTATAAAAATATAAAGATATAAAGAATTAAAAATATAAAGATTATTACAAATTGTCAAAGTAAGATTAAACAGTGTATTTGTATAATAGTTGATTTAAATTTTGTTCAAAAATAGTTTATCTTCAAAATATTCTTGAATTGCGTAATAGAGTTGTCAATTAATTTTTTTGTTAGTAGTTTAATAAATTTGTAATTTGTTCAAAAAAATTGTTGTAAAAAAAAATTGTTCTCTTCTTTTTTTATGTCATTAGGTAATTTATTATATATTTAATGGCCATTTCATGTGAACTAGAAGACACAAATTTTAATTTGGATGGCTGTTTGATTAAATTATTTTTATACTGGGACGGGTAGCGTCGAGATTGGTCTTACAAATTTGCATAGTTCTAAAACATAAATCGCTGGCAAAGTCAATATTTTCAAACGCTTAAAGTGTGATTTACAGCTTTCAGTTATTTTTAAGTTAGCTAGGAGACGCACACACGTTTTTTGAATGATAAGCAAGTCTTGTGCATCCGTGCTGTTTCCCCACAACATATCTCGATACAACACAACAACATATAATCTCAATTTTGACAACTTTACGGGATGAAGAAAAAATCATTTATGTAGCATCTGGTTTATTAAATAAAAATACGTAGTGTGCGTATTGTGTAACAAAATATATTTAAAAACGACGTATTTTTTAATAAACCAGATAGATGTAAATGACGCAAACAATTATTTCTTCATTCTGTAAAGTTGTCAAAATTGAGATAGTACCGATTGCCAGTTCACAGTCGAAATAGGCTTCTATTATAAGTTTTCGGTTGATATTCAACATTTGCCATTCATAAAGTTTAAAACTATAGTGAAACAAAAACTTTATACTAAATGTTATTATTATACAGCTAATGGGTACTTGAATGGCAAAAATCCATGGTAGTGATTCCATTAGGTTTTGCAAGTTATCAACAAATATTGGAAATGATAAATGTGTCATCATCGCCATCATCACCCCATTTATGTTCCACTGCTGTGCACGGATCTCATCTCTGTTTAAAAATGTAGAAACGATGTTTTCCTTCACCGAAAACTTGATGGTAAATTTGAATTTATATTAAATTTCGAGCATAAATTCCGAAAACTCAGATGTACTAGCTCGAATACGGACCCACGGCCGCTGCTTTAGAGGCGGTAGGTTTTGACCATCAGGCCACCACGTCAATACTAAACGTTACCACGACACTAAAAAAAATCAAGTTTATTAATTTTGTATGAAGAAACATTTTATTAAATTTGACCAAGTTTTGCCGTCCCGATATTGTCCAATACAATGAAATGATCGTTACATGAAACTGAGTCGACCAACACTAAAAAAAATTAATCAATGCTATTCATTTTTATGGACAACTCGCACTTGACCAAGGAATTGGCTTATGCCAAAATTGTTTTCACAAAAAAAGACTCAATAATTTTTAAGACAGTTTCCCTATATTTGCTATGGTTTCGGATTTCCTCATATTGTCCCAGTTAAAAAAACACACTGTATATACAAAGAGCAACCCCTAAAGTTCCTTGCCCATTCTTCTCAGGGGAATCTAATATGACGATGTCAAGTGTAATTTGTTTACCTATGATATAAAAATCATTTGAGTTTGACACACAACTGGTTGTCTGCAGCGGTCGCAAGTACTCGGCAACAAGATCGAGATGGAGATCACAGCTCTGGTGGAACAGAACCCCACACTGCTTCGATTGGGGCTGCACCTCGAGTACAGCGATGCCCGTCATCGCGTCGCCAGCCACCTGCAGCGCAATATCGACAGGAGTACGTATCCTCACTTTAATGATGACTTAGGAAAGTTCTGGCCACCTAATTGAAAAAAAAAAAAAATATATAAAAATACCTGGCTGAGTGAAAATAAACTTTCATAGATTTCTCACAGATGGCATTACGGCAAAATAATCGCTAAAAGCCACAAACAAAGGTCTGCCGGGTTGTTCCATCTGCCACGGTATGCTGAAAGAGCTGGTTCGAATCCAGACGGTTCAAAGGAATTTTTCCTTAGTGTTCGATCTTTGTTTTATAACTATAATAAATTTATAATTATTATCTTACTGGTACATTTTTATCTGGCTATATATAAAATAACTTGACCTGCTATTTTTGTTAAGAGCCAGGTGTCATATTCTATATACAGTAACTAATTTTTAACTAGTTTTAGGTTAGTTAACTACATGCATATCATAAATAGGGAGCTTCATGCCTGTAGTAGTTGTTGACCTGTTGTGACTTGGGGCCAGAACTTTTTAGTCTTATTTCCTATTTCTATTTACGTCTTTGCACTTTTTATTTAGGTTATAAAAATACCCTCTAAAGGGCAACGAAACTATACCTATTCATAAATCAAATGTGTGTGTGTGTGTATGGCGGCTCTGTAGAAATTATCTTCCGTCTAAATCTACCGAGACGTCAATCTGTCGCAAAACGCACGCCACATCACTCCATTTTCAATCTGCAATATGTAAATAAGTCACCGAACCGATCGTCATGGAGGATCACCGTGCTAACACTGCGCGCTCGTACAGGTGGCGCCACTTCCATTGGCACTTTACACCACAGCCTCACAGTCTCACTACTTCTTAAACCAGTGATGGACGTTACCAATGCCATTATGACGCAAAGGGACATCTTTCTTACCCATAAAGGATCACGAACATCACGAATCGTCCGATAAACGTCGTGGATCATGAACTGACCGCGTGGATCATTGTTAGCCGTTGTGGATCGTAAAAGGCGTGAATGAAACTACAAAATCATTTTATCAGCGCTTCTATGTGTTCATATGTCGTAGTGTGTGATAAATCTTCAAGAACTATGCATCCATATACAACACTTTCGCAAGATTCGTACACCGTGTAAATAACAACATTAGTAAATCAGCTGTTGGCTCAAATCGTCAAACAAGATGTTCGTGATGTCAGATTGCCGAGTGCAAAAGCGGGCTAGCGCGTCGCTTAGCTTGCGACTGCCTCGTGGACGGCCGCCGGCCGTTGGCATCGACAGTAGCTTCTTCAACCTCACACCACCCAGCGCCGAAGCCGTCACACCAACCAAGGACAAAGATATACCAACCATGACCGAAAATGTCGAAACTAGTATTACAATTCCTGCGCCTACGCCAAAAGAGCCGGTTACAGAAACACCGGATACACCAGGGAATCAGGAGAGCAAAAGAGACCCCGAAACATTTGTGATGGCTTCGCGGCCCGATACAAGTTCCGAGCCGCACTCGTGAGTAACGCGACACACACACACGCGTGCCCCTAGTATTTAGTAGTTTTACTGTCACCGGTTTATACTGTGTACGTGGGAAGGATTGGTTGTGTTGATACTTACGTAACGCGTGTTTACGATTATAACTTCTGAAAACTACTTTTCCGAACTAATTTCTTTGTCAAAGTATCAAAGTAGAACAATCCAAGCCACACTTTTAGAAAAACCCGACACAACACGTAGTGTATCATTGAAATATTTGTCCATTGCAGTACGGAAAGACCTAACTCTGCGACTGCAGTTCAGGTTCTTTAACAACCTGCCTAAAGGCGCTCGTAGCCAATAGAGAGAAGGTCAGGCCCACGATGTTAGCACGGCCGCAAACTTACAATACTTCGCTTAAAATAGCTTATTTTATAGTTTTCTGAGTGTCTACACTTACTCCTGTGCAGTTTTATTGGCAAACATTTTTACGCATAATCATTCGCCTTTAAAGAGAGCCTTTTAGTGCTTAAAGTTAGACAACAGGCATTTAGCTCGAATACTACAATGAATAGTTACATTATTACAATAAATAAATACATCATACGTAGTATAGTCGTAGTTTTGTTGAATTAACGAATGGAATATTCTTTACACAGACGTAGAAAGTTCTAATTTAAAGACATGACGGCTTGATAAAATTTTTATCCTGCAAAAGCGTGCTTTCAGGGTAATTTATAGAAGTAGGCACCAAAGCGTCTAATTGAGTGCGTGAAGCTAGAAATTGAGTATTGTAGTTTTTCTATGAATAATCTCAGTACTAAAAAACCGACCTCAAAAGTTCGTGGAGATACATCTATTTGCCAAGTTTTATTGAAATCGGTTACCGGAAAGTACGCGAAACTGGATTGATGAATCCATATCCCTAGTTTGCCATTCTTAGAGGTGGAATGTTTTCTTCAAATTTCAATGGGACCACTAATGGGACTACTAAGGTATTTCCAACAAAAAAAGAATCATCAAAAACGGTTCACGGAGTTATCGCGTAACATACATACAAAAAAAACACAGTCCTATTGAGAACCTCCTCCTTTTTTAAAGTCGGTTAAAAATAGTGAATACCATTATATTATTAATACGAAGGACAAAAATAAACTGCTTGTTTTTATCAGTCACCTTCATAAAGTTACAAATTCATTTAATGGGCAATAGTCTTCCAGTTTAATAGAATTACTGTTGATATTACAAATTTGCCATTTACGTTGTTTCAAAGTACTCGTATCGTGAAACATAAACACCTGACTTCGGTGGTCCAACGGCTTGCATGAGGAGGTCCCGGGTTTTAACACTAGGTTCGAAATTAAGTTCCTTTTGAAAGAACTCATCCAGTGACGTACTGCCACTAACTATTTCTGCCACCAAGCAATAATGTGAGCTTTATTGTGTTCCGATTTTGAAGGGCAAGGGTGCTCTGGTGAAATTACAGGCACATGGAACTTATCAACTTATGTCTCAGGGTGACGGGCGCAGTGGCAGTGCCCCTCGAATCTTTGTGATTTATTAAAGCTCTGAGTGGCACTGCAACCGTTATGGATAGGTATGTCGCATACCACCAGGCGCACGACTTGTTCGTCCCATCACTTGCTATCATAAAAAAGGGCAAATTTAGGAAATATATTATTTTATAATTTTATTAATTATTTTATTAACTTATAATTATTATAAATTTTTTGCGTGTTCACTTGTATGACAAAAATCTATCAAAAATCTAAAGGAGTGTTCGTTTTTATCTCTTACTTAAAATATTTTTATATAAATATGTAAAAGATAAGCGTGAACAAATAGAAGTGCCTTAATCGGTGCTGATCTGCCTTACTATTACTACAACTACAAATAATTATTTAGATTTTTCTTTATTTGAATTTTGGACAGCGCAAATGTTCAGAGTAAATAGTTACGTCAACAGGAAGTACAATGAGCAAATAAGATCGATTATACCAAATGTTTGCCAAATTAATCATTACGATTGGTATAATTAGACACTAAAGGTCAAAAGCTTGTTTTTAACGCGCAAAACACGCGGGTGTCCATAAAACTGCACAACAACATAAACAAAAAAAGTATTCGAGTATAACACATTTACATTGACAAATTATTTGATACTGAGTGACACCGTTAACATTTTTTATACTCTGTACCTTTCTATCAATAATATCTTGTTAATAATGAACTCTGAATAATAAAAGTTCTTATAATAAATTTCTAATGTCCGAGCTCATTACACACTAATGTTTTTTGATGTGTTTATCATATTTTAACCGATAACAATTTGATTTTAGCGGAGAGGGGAGCGTAGAACCTCATGATAATTTGTAGAACGGCCGCAAATAAATCGGTAAAGGTCCAATTGTATTTGATGCGAATGCTGCAGGTCGTACAATGCCGTGCTGTTCAGGGACTTAATAATATTAGCGCAGCTTCAGCTATTTTTTATGCTTTAGGCCTCCGTTTAGCCGAGGTGTCCGTTCGATACGAAATACCTTTTTGTTTTATCCCGCATTGTGCATTAATATTGCACAAAATCCTCTTCTTATAATGAAAATTAGGACGTTTCAATGAATATAATGATTTTATATGCAAACTAACTCCCACGCATGCGTGTGAACTAACACGAATGTCGAGTGATATATATATCTGAATACTAAATTTAAAAAAAATTACAGCATGTGATTATGATATGTTGTTTCTCTGTCGAAGGTCACTATTATGTAGTCAATGTTTATTTGACACATTTTTGTATACATGGCTGCATCATTAATGATGTTTTGATGAACTCTGTGTATATAAATCGTGTAAATTTTACGTTTCATACTTGTGATATTCTTCAGACAAACTGTGAATACTCCTAATGATTGTACTGTCTCCTTTTTCTTTCAGTTTGAATATTTAAATTTTCGTACCTTTGCAACTGTAACTTAAATGTTGAGAAAATAATCCCCGTTTGATTGATTTGTTTTACCGATATTCATAGTCAAGTTTAATAAAAGAAGATGGCTTTAGTCATCAAACTAATACAAAACCCTCTATAGTTGAATATCAGTAAAATTATATAAATTATTTAATGTAACGAAAATTAATTTCCACATCGATAATGTTTAAAAGCAATTTTGCAATATTCTAATCTTCAATTTTAAATACTGATTCCTTATTCAAATTCTATGCACCGTGAATTAAAATTAATTTTCGTTGCACAAGCTAAATGGAAATTGCATTGAGACCCTGTATTATTCGTGTGTGTTGCCTTGCAGTACGCCAGCAGCGCCGCAGCAAGAGCAGCGCTTAGAGCCCTGAACTCCGCATGTGGTATGTATCCTAAGGGTCACCACCAACTTGTCAACAACACACGCATCGAACGTGTCCATCGCACCAACATTTTTATGATGCGTGTGTTGCGGACAAGTGTTTGGTAACTCAAGAATATAAAATGTCGGCATTCATTTTAATAATCTCTTTTTTAACAGTCAGCTATTCAGCCACTACAGATAATCGAATGAAAAAAAAGTTTAATAAGCAATTTAGCAAGTGTCAAAACTTTACAAAAAAAAACGAAAACAATTTTTAATATAAAAAAATTATTAATTTCACAAAAAGCATTTGACTCCAATGGTAAGACAAAACCTTGCATTTTGCCACCCCATATTATAGCATTATTACGCATGATAAAAATCCAAGGACGTGTCGTGTTTTTATGTCATTAACAGAATGTGAAAAACTTCTGTGTTAAAACATTTTTCATCCCTTTTTTTCTCGAACTATCCAATGAAAATGTGACTTAAGTTCAATGTTTTCCGATATACGTACTCAATTCCTCTTTACATTATTGAATAGGCTTATATTATCTTGTAATTTCTTCGCTTAAATGTTGTCTTTGCCCAATATTGACTTAGGTAGTAGTTAAAAATCATACACATTAGTAATTGATAGATTTTACATAAGCCTTACAGTATGCATTATTGTATTATCTTTATGCTGGTAAACTCAATATTTACTTATCATTTTGTCGTAAGAATTTGTTACTAAATAATATTGTAATACAATTAAGCAAGGGACACAAGTTCTCTCATTATACAGGGTTATTTTTAAAATACTAACAACATCGAAGGACTATATTGCTAATATCATAAACAACAACTTTTGTTCCATGACTTTTTACAAAACATAAAAAAATTATGTAAAATAAACTTTTCTTGTTTAAAATGTTTATGTTTTTGTTGTACTATCTGACACTTTATATTTCTGTATTTGGTAGAATAAGTTCAAACGTGCAAGCGTCACACGACGCCTTCCGGTCCGTCCTGTACAGAGTTATTTCCATTTAAAGCTATCTATTTATTTTTGTAGGAAAATAAAATCTGATGTTGAATTATTTAAAGTCATGGAACAAACGTTGTTGTTTATGTTGTTCGTTACAAAGGCCTGCAATGTTGTTAGTATTTTAAAAACAACCCTGTATATTATTAACATATGCACAGCGCTACACTGTTAATCGCGGTACAAATGCGTAATGGGATTTGACCTTTATGCGAGAGGAATACGCTTTCTCCATGTTTATAATTCCATGTCTTTCGATGCAAATATGCAATCAACTTATACCTTATCATGCTATAGAAAATAATTTTATATTATTTATTTAACAGAATTTTGTAACGTTGCAGGTGGGCGCGTGCGCCGTCTCACCCAGTTCACACGCAGCCGCTCCTACGTGGTGGGCTGGATCCCGTGATCGTGTCTCTACTTTATGCTTACTGCTATTGTCTATGGTTAGGAACAGAGAAACAAAACTTTTTGATGAATCATTTTTACGTTATTATTTATTAGCATAATGGTTCAACGAAGGCTACAATGGAAATTTTTAATTTGACTTTTTCTTTTTGAAAACCGAAACTTATTACTTACTTTAGTGAGGAAAAGAAGATGTAAACAATGTAACTTGATATATCACAGCTCCGGTAAAACACAGACTTAACTGCGAAAAATTGTGATCCCAAACCATTTTTGAAATGCAATTTATAGAATACAATAATTTATTTCCTATTATCAATGTCACAATACTACAGTTCATAATACATGTCAAGGGATATTTGGGTCACTAACGCAAATAATAGTAATGAATATAAAATAAGGTAGTATAACTACTGCTTGTCTAAATTCAACTAAATCAAGTAAAAGAAAAGGGGCCCATTATGCAATCTTTCATTTTTCTACAGAGGGCGTACTGTAAATTTTACAAATGTAAGTTGAGACACTGTTTCACCGGAGGTGCAATATAAGTTTCTCTTTTTCAACCAAAACAATAGCTAGTGTTATTGAAGTGTAGCAAACGGTGCGGCCACCCCTCCCACTAACCGCGCTCGCTGGCTACGCACCACCCTCTGTCGTACCTTTGTGATTTCGTAATTCTTCACTTCTACAGTAAACATTAAATTACGTAATTACTCTCAACTTTGATACTACGTATACGGTATAGTCGTCCGTACAACTACTAATATTTACATATGGCTCACCTTACCTTAATCTTATCTCCCTATAAACCCAAGTTTAGATAATAAAGTTGTACTTGAATAAGCAAAATTGATGACTGAATTTAGAGGCTGTTCTGGCGTGTTCCAAAAAAAAAGTCCACTGGGGTCTCGAAATTAAACCCCAGTGTGGTATTTTTCTTACTTTCTTAGCTATATTTTGAAGTTCTACGAAATGCCAGAGTTAAGAAGCTCAAACAAACACAAAAAAACTCTAAAACAAAATCTTGCCTACTGTTTTGTTGCATGCCAACAGAAAACAACTAAACAGTTAAAATTAGAACTTGGCACGTTCAATATTAATAATTGTTAATTTATAGTGCCGTTAAATTTGAATTACACTATCACAAAGACAATGGGGACGGAGACTATAAGAATGCATGAAATTTAGTAATCGTATGTAATGTTGTGAACAAGAATTGTAATCATTATTGGTAAGTTAAACAAGGTACGAAAATAATTTTTCTAGAAGGTGGCAGGTCCATCTCTAGCGAAATTCTCCTAATTATTTCAACTGTATGGTGTTTTTCGAATCAATAAAATAACAATTCTTGTCGGTGCGCATGAGTTGATACTTTTTAATATTAATCTTACTCTTAGTGTGCTAATGAAATCGTATTAATTCTTATTATTATAATAAATTGTAAAATATTTTATAGATATTCACATTCCATTCATGCGAAACATGCTTCTCTGGGAATGACACTTTTGAAAATGCCAAAATCCCTCTTCCGACTTTTTCTAGGTCTCGTGTCTTATAATATTATAATAAGAGAATTATAGTAACTCCATACAAACCTAGCAGCGCGGCTTGTATGTACAGCGTTACGCCAATTTTATTTTTCGATCAGTTTTTGTATACAGCCGTATTTATTTACTAATATTGTGTTCCCCGAATTTTGCAAAAAATAATAATAAAAAAAAAACAAAATTCGAAAAAAGCAAAAAACGAATATTGGGGAAAAAAAGAAATTAATTTTCATTATGCGAATGTGCGCCTCCGTACACGACACGCGGTGGGCGTGCACACGCATAAACCACGCAGCTGCATATGAATAGAGTTACCATACTTGTCTTGTTTATACTATGATATTATTAGGCGCTCTCAAATTAAACGCTTATAGAAGCGCTGCAGTGGCGCCACTGTGGCGCTTATAGAAGCCACAGTGGCGCCACTGCCAGTCTTTCTATAAGCGTCTTAATTTGAAGGTTCCCTAAGTATTACAAGTTTGAGACTAATAAAAAATCTAGAATCATTACAAGTTTACGAGTATTCAGTTTATTTTCTGACGCAATTTCAAAACTTTTGACTGACTGATTATAGTGCGAAATGAGCAATGAAACATCTCTTGATTGAAATTGAACCGTAAAAGACAGAGAAGTCATGTTCTGCGTCAATGGAGGGTAACTTTAACTACACTTTTCAATAAAGCACTGGGTTCAGTTCGCTAATTTTATAAGTAGAAATGTGCCTTCTGCAAAAAGGGAATAGGTTCCTTATTTCACAAGCTAATTTAACGCGAGGCCTTATGTGTGTTCGGTGTATAGATACGACCTTTTGCTTTCTTGAAACAAAAAAATGCTTATCTTTAAAGTAACTTTATGTATATTTGATAGTAAAATCTACTGGAGGAACTAAGTGTCCATAACATTGTGATAAACATCATGTTTTTCCATTTAAAAAATACTGCTTTGATTTTTTTCGTCTTAGTTTCAATTTAAGAGAGATTAATTGTATATGTATTTTAGATTTTTTTAAATGTAATATTCTTTTATTGTGACGATTTATGAATTTTAAAATTAATTATTAAATATGTATTTTTATTGTAATTTACTTTATATTGATACAGTGGTTCAGGAGCATTTTGGTCCAACGAAATCCTTAACTAATAGAGTCGCACTTTTGTAGTTTGTGGCAAAATATGTAAACAAAATCTGTAAACAAAATCAATAAAGTACATAAATGTTATATTTAATCTTTTATTGTTTTCTGAGTTAGTGTTCATAGGACCGTAATTTCAACCTGTCGGGGGCCACACCGTCCAATTTGAGTCAGGAAAATCTTGTGTGAATTCTTATATTTCAATTTCTGACGTTAATTTCTGAGTTTCAAAAATGTATAGAAATTTATTCTACGTCATATAAGTTTTCAAGCTAGAGGGTCCTGGACAATAGATCCTTCTTTTTATTTATTAATATAATAGGTTGCACATTATTACATTCAACAAATTGTCTATAGCATTTCCGGCCTTGGTCTGATGTAATGACCCATTGCAGATATGTACAGCGTTGACATGAACACTAATACACTAACATAGGTTATCAATGGGTTATCAACATAGAAAGATATGTAAAAAAAAAAACAAATTAAATTAGCCAGTTTACGCGCAGTACTAGTAACTCTAAGGGTCGTATTCTAGAACTCTACTCAATGCTCATGTCAGCATTTGAGTATGGTTTAAAGCACTCGAAATCATACTTAAGTCCTTGCCATTAGGGTCGTATTTCCAGAGCTTGTGTTTCAATTGCAATCCTGACTTGAGCATTGAGTAGAGTTCTAGAATACGACCCTAAGACCCAGTATTAAGAGGGAGCAGAGGAAAAATTCCTAATCTGCGATTTGTTTTTAGAGGGGTATATCCACTTTAAAGTTAAAAATAAAATATTGTATGAGTAACTACACGATATGTTTAAGCATAGACACTAATCAGAAACATAAAACAATAAAGTTTCCTCGATAGATAAAAGTCACGAAAGACCTCTAATTTTCACATTTTTTCGATTCATCCTCGAAATGCTACAGGTTATTAGGACAAAAATTAGATAATTAATTATATTTATGCATGATCGAGAACTGTCACTACGGATTTTTTTTAATCCCTCTAGTTTTAGAGTTATTCCGCTAAAACGAATTTGGTACTTTTAATGCGCAAAATTCAACATCTCCTGTCGCATGTCACGCGAACTTCAGGCATATATTTGTTTCACAAATTTGGGCGGAGCCAACGACCACACTTTTTTGGCATGCTCCCTCTTAACAAGACTCCTTTAAGAATCCTTCGGAGTTTATGCAGTCTATTTTTTTGTGATATAAGGTAGTAAGTTACTTCGAAGGAATTCATCGTTATATAATTAACATTTTCGACAGGTATCATAAAAAATATACTTGGCTCTTTTTGTACATTTTTTATTGTATTATTTATTTTTATTTTTTGTTGTATATTAGTGACGGGACGTGCAAGTCGTGCCCCTGATGGTAAAAGACTCGCCTAACCATAATATCACCAGCTGATCTGGACAATGGGAAAAAATTCCATTGGCCAGGCCAGTCTGACCATCAATCTGGCCAACGGGAAACACTGGTAGTTGCAGTGACACTCAGAGCTTCAAAGATTGGAGAGGCACTGCTTATGCGCCCGTCACCTGGAGACACAAGTTGACAAGGTCCCATGTGACTGTAATAATAATGTAGTTCCACCAGCACGCATCATACCCTTTAAGAATAATTATAACTAATTTAATTTTAAGAACATCACATTGATTGATGTCAGTGGACAATATTAGCTTTATCGCTCACTAAGACTTGTACTACCTTTTTAAAGTTTTTAAATTTTTATTCAATAATTTTTTAAGTGAAATTACTCCACTACTTTCTTATAATTATTAACACAGAAAAAAATCGGCCGGATTCGAACAGACGTCTTCTAGCATACCGTGCCAGTAGCTATAGCACCTAAGCCACGGAACGAACCAGCGGACCTCACTAATTTTTCTATGTGCTTATTGTCGTGTCTTTGTATTTGGTTTTTTCAACGACTGTTTAAAGTTTTAATTTATTTGGGTATGCAAAAGTTCTACCATACCAGCTCTTCATGTATTTATATTTTTTTCTTGTTTTGGAGGAAAAGGCGACAAAAGTTCATTTTTATTATGTCATGGAGGGTTGATGGTATAACCGTAGGGAAATAAAAATAGGACAGGGTTTACGTTTTTCGAAAAGTATTCTGTTGAGTGCGGGTTCATTTTATTTTATTTTATTTTATTTTACTTTATATTATTTCATTTTATTTTATCATTTTATCAGAGATTTTTTAATTAGGATTTTTGGCTTGGATACAAGTCCTTTGAGCCAGGTCTTCATTTAATTTACGGGATCCTCATAAAATGTTTTCTATTGTGTATAATGTACTTGTAGCTAGCATACTTGTATACAAAAATAACTTTGGGTTTTTGCATGGTTTTCGAAATAGTCTTATAAGCGGCGGGAGACATTATTCATGTTTTCACTTTCACTTAAATCACTTTGTTAACTTGCTCATAGAAGACATTGAATTTTGATCACGGCTTAGTAGGTATTTCTTCTAGTATGCTTCCATACCATTTGCCTTTTATATCTAAATCCTCTTCCAGAAACTTTTCCATTATCTATATAAAGCTACAAGTTTAGACTCACCATGGAATTAATAAGTACTTCGTACAACGTTGTACGAAGTACTTATTAATTCCATGAGACTCACTTAGAATAGGCTCCAAGGCAAAGAATCAAATGTGAAAAGACCTGAATCTGGAAAATGTAAACAAGTGATCAACGGCCTGCAAAAACTATAATACATGGGGGGGATTTTTTGTGCATTTTTATTAGATACACTCTAGTCAATTTCCGCGGGAAATAAAAAATGTTCGCAATTCAAATAAACAAGATGGTCGCCATACAAATTTCAAAGCCTCCTATCACGGAAACTGTTAGAGATAGGTGCTCGAAGGAATTTTTGAGAAAAAAATTGCTGAGATCCCTTTGGAAATTGGCATATGGGGTCCCTAGGAGTGCTTGATAATAATTTGTGATCAAAATTGGTTTTTCGCCATTTTTAAATATGGCCGCCATACAAACTCTTAGCGGCAGATACAATTTTGCACTAATTCGAATGAAAATGGACATGTCGGGGTCTTTATGAGTGTTTAATAATAATTAGCGATTAAAATGTAT